GTCCTACAATTTAGCTCATTTCTGACACTATCTACCTGGAGGTATCATCAGATTCCACAGGTGAGGGCGCCTGGGTGGCTCAGTCTCTTAAGCGTCTGCCTTCAGCTCAGGTCATGATCCAAGGGTCCAGGGATCAAGTCCCGCATTGGGCTTCCTGCTCGGCAGGGAGTCCCCTGCTTCTCCCTCTACCCCTCCCCCCTGCTTATGCGTGTGTGTGCACGCTCTCTCTCTCTCTCTTTCTCTCTCAAATAAATAAATAAAATCTTAAAGAAAAAAAAAGACGCCACAGGTGAAGGGCTCAGTCCCACAAGACTACCCTCCACTTTAGATGCCAACTGTAAATCCAGGTTGTTACTTGTGCTTCTGACCTATTTATTTATTGATTAATTAAATCTTTTTTTAAAAAATATGTTGAATTTATAGGGGCACCTGGGTGGTACAGTTGGTTGAGCATCTGACTCTTGGTTTTGTCTCAGGTCTGATCTCAGGGTCCTGAGATCAAGCCCTTCTTCGGGCTCCGTGCTCAGCACAGAATCTACTTGTGTTTCTCTCTCCCTCTCCCTCGGCCGCTGTCCCCTTCTTGTGCTCTCTCATGCACATGAGATCTCTCTCTCAAATCAATAAAATAAATCTTTTTTTATGATTTTATTGATTTGAGAGAGAGTGTGCACAAGAGAGCGAGCACAAGCAGGGGGAGCAGCAGAGGGAGAAGGAGAAGCAGACTCCCCACACAGCAGGGAGCCCGATGTGGGGCTCAATCCCAGGACCTGAGATCATGACCTGAGCCGAAGGCAGCCACTTAACCAACTGAGCCACCCAGGCGCCCCTAAGATAAATCTTTAAATAAAAAAAAAGATGTTGAATTTATTGGTTTAAGAGTTATTTATAATATACTTTATTTAATTTTTTTAATGTCTATAAGGTCTCTAGAGAGGTTCCATCTTTCATTCTTGATATTTGAATTTCTGTCTTTTTTTCTTGGTTGTCTAGCTAGAGTTTATCAAGTTTGGTTTTGGGGGGATTTTTGGGGGGGGTTTTGTGTGTTTTCAAAGAACAGTAGCTTTTGGTTTTAGGAGGGTTTTGTGGATTTTTTTATTGTTTTTTCTTTTACTGTTTTTCTCTTCTGAATTTCATTGATATATCTGTATTATTTCCTTTCTTCAACTTACTTTAGGAATAATTTACTATTATTTTTAGATCATTAATTTGAGACCTGTCTTTCCTAATACAAGCATTTAATACTTTAAATTTTCCTCTAAGCCCTGCTTTGATTGCATCCTACAAGTTTTCACATGTTGTCTTCTCATTTTCATTCTGTTCAAAACATGTTATAATTTCATTTGTGACTTCCTCATTGAACTGTGGGTTATTTAGAAGTGCGATAATTTCCAAATATGTGTGGATTTGCCAAATATCTCTCTGACTTTTATTTTAATTCTGTTACAGTCAAAGGATATACTCTGTGTGATTTACATTCTTTTGAACTTTTAAGGTTTGGGTTTTGGCCCAGAATATGGTCTCTCTTGGTAAATATCCAATTTGTATTTAAAAAGAATATGTACTCTGCTGTTGTTGTATGGAAAGTTCTATAAATCTCAATAAGGTCAAGTTAGTAGATAATGTTGTTCAGATCTTCTATACCTTCATTTTCTGTCTATTTCTACTGATTACTGAGAGAGGAGTGTTGAAGTCTTTAATTTTATTTGTGAATTTCTCTATTTTTCCTTTGACTTCTATCAGTTTTGCTTCATATATTTAGAAATTGTTGTTAGGTACAAAGATTGCTGTCTTCTATGTGAACTGACCCCTTTATCATTATGTAATGTCATTATTATTTAACGTTCCTTGTTCTGAAGTCTGCTTTGCCTGATGTTAATATAGCTGCTCCAGCTTTCATTTCATTCATTTTAGCATGGTATAACTTTTCCATTCTTTTATTTTTAACCTGTTTGTATCTTTATATTTATTTTTTTTAAAGATTTTATTTATTTGAGAGAGAAAGAATGAAAGAGAGAGAGCACCAGATGGGGGAGGGTCAGAGGGAGAAGCAGACCCCCCGCTGAGCAGGGAGCCCGATGCAGGACTCGATCCTGGGACTCGAGGATCATGACCTGAGCCGAAGGCATTCGCTTAACCACCTGAGCCACCCAGGCGCCCCTGTATCTTTATATTTAAAGTGGATTTCTTTTAGGTAACACAGAGTTGTATCTTACCTTTTTATACAGTCTCTCTGCTTTTTATTGGGGTGTTTACGCCATTTACATTTAATGTGATTATTGATATGGTCAGGTATAAGTCTGTCATCTTGCTATTTGTCTTCTATTTGTCCAATCCATTCGTTGTTTCTTTTTTCCTCCTTTTCTGTCATCTTTTGGGATAACTGAGCGTTGTTTATGATTCCGTCTTACCTCTTTTGTTGGCCTAGTAGCTAGACTTCTTCTTTTTAAGGGTTATTTTAGAGTTTATAGTATACATCTCTCACTTGTCACAGTTTACCTTTAAGTAATATTGTACTCCATGAATAATCTCAGAACCTTGTAATGGTATACTTGTTTCCCCTTTCCTAGCCTTTGTGCTATTGCTGTCATGTATTTTACTTCTGTATATGTTATAAATTACCCAATACATTGTTATTATTTTTCCCTTAAACAGTTATATATGTATATACATACACACATATACATACATATATATATATTTTTTTGAGAGAGAGAGAGAGATTGAGTGTGAGGAGAGGGGAGGGGCAAAGGGAGAGGGAGAGAGAGAATCTTTTCTTTTTAAGATTTATTTATTTATATGAGAGAGAGAGAGAGCAGGGGGAGGGGCAAAGGGAGAGGGAGAGAGAGAATCTTTTCTTTTTAAGATTTATTTATTTATATGAGAGAGAGAGAGAGCAGGGGGAGGGGCAAAGGGAGAGGGAAAGGGAAAGAATCTCAAGCAGACCCTCCTGAGTATGGAGCCCTAAGTGGGGTTTGAACTTACGACCCTGAGATCATGACCTGAGCCAAAACCAAGAGTTGGACTCTTAAACAACTGAACCACCCAGCCTCCCCTAAACGGTTATAGTTTAAAGATATTATTAAAATAAAGGGAAAAGGTGTTTCTGCTTACCTATATACTAACCATTTCCAGTGCTTTTCCTTCGTGTGGCTTATGACTGTGGTCCACTGTCGTTTTGCTTCTTCCTGAGAGACCTCCTTTAACATTTCTTGTATTTCACATCTGCTATTGGTGATTTCGTTCAGCTCTTGTGTATCTGAAAAAGTCTTGTTTTCCGTGTTTGAAAGATAATTTCACTGTATATTGACCTCCAACTTGACAGGCTGTTTTTGTGTGTGTGTTTTGTTGTTGTTTTTCATTTCAGGGCTTTAAAGACATTGCTCCACTGTCTTCTGGATTGTATCATTTCTGACAAGAAACATATTCTCATTGTTTCCTCTCTTCCCAGTGCATGGCTCTCTGGCTACTTTTATAAGATTTTCTGTCTCGGGGCGCCTGGGTGGCTCAGTCGTTAAGCATCTGCCTTCGGCTCAGGTCATGATCCCAGGGTCCTGGGATCGAGCCCCACATCGGGCTCCCTGCTCTGTGGAGAGCCTGCTTTTCCCTCTGCCCCTCACCCAGCTCATGCTTGCTCACTCCCTCTCTCAAATAAATAAATAAAATCTTAAAAAAAAAAAAAAAGATTTCCTGTCTCATTTAGCACCAAGCTGTTTGATCATGATGTCCCTGCATGTAATTTTCTTCATGTTTCTTTTGCTTGGAGTTTATTGAGCTTCTAAGATCTGTGAATTTGTAGTTTTAATCAAATATGAAAATTTATTATCCATTTTTCCTTATTTTGTTGTCCCTCTTGTTTCACCTCTCCTTTTAGAGATTCTGATCAGGCATAGACTGGGTTGCTTGAAATTGTCCCTGAGCTCAATGACCTCTTTTAATTCGGGTTTTTTTATCCTTTTTTATTTTTCATTTTGGGTAGTTTCCATTGCTACATCTTCATGTTCATTCATGTTTTCTGCTGCACTGTCTAACCTTGTTTTATTTTCTATATATTTTCCACTTAAGACTTTTTTTGGGGGGGCGCCTGGGTGGCTCAGTTGGTTAAGCGACTGCCTTCAGCTCAGGTCATGATCCTGGAGTCCCGGGATCGAGTCCCGTGTCGGGCTCCCTGCTCGGCGGGGAGTCTGCTTCTCCCTCTGACCCTCTTCCCTCTCGTGCTCTCTATCTCTCATTCTCTCTCTCTCTCAAATAAATAAATGAAATCTTTAAAAAAAAAAAAGACTTTTTTCCCCCCATCTCTAGAAGTTCTATTTGGGTCCTTTTTATGTTTTCCTCCATGTTCTGGTACATATAGAATATAGTTATAACAGCTGTTTTATTAACATCCTTGTCTACTAATTCTGTCATTTATGTCGTTTATGATCTGTTACTACTGAGTGAGGTTTTTTCCCTCCTCATTATGGGTCATATTTTCTTGTTTCTTTGTGTGCCTGGAAATTTCTTATTGGATACCAAACGTTGTGAATTTTACCTTGTTAGATACTGGACAGTTTTATAATCCTTTCAATATTCTTGAGCTTTGTTCTTAGCCCATTTTACAGATGAGGAAACAGGCACAAAGAGGTAAAGCGTCACTAGCCTTACAGACATTATCTGGGCAAAAGGAGTTGGAGGAAGGGTGCTGGTGGTAAAGAGAACAGCATGCACAAGGGGACAGAGCAATGGGAACTTGTGGTAATTTCATGGAAACCTCATATTTCAGTAAAATGCAGCCAAGGAGGGGGTGGGGAGGATACCGCTGGTAAAAGAGCTCAGAAGCCAGATCGGGAAGTGTTTCATACTTTTTATTTTGTAGGTCATGGGGTGTCAAGCCAGATGTGGGTTTCCAAACATGTCTCTCTGGCAGTGGAGTAGAGGATGAATTAAAGTCAACAGCTTAGAGGAAACTTGGGAGCCATTTTGAAGTTCTTAATTCTTGCTTTTCAACTTGTCTTTGGCTTTAGGTTGTGGATCTGTCTTGAATGTAAATGGTGATGTTGAAATGGATGCCAGTATCATGAATGGACAAGATCTGTCTGCGGGAGCTGTGTCTGCAGTCCGCTGTATAGCAAACCCCATTAAACTTGCACGGCTTGTTATGGAAAAGGTATGTGACAAAAGCATCCTTTTTGTAAGAAATTGTTACTGCTGTACTCTAGCAACTAAAAGTGGTCTTACTGGAGGGAAATACTTGTGAGCACTGTTCTCCTAAAACCCTATAAAAGAACAGAAGCACTGCTACTTAAATTTCTCAAATAAGCCGAGACTCTGACTCTGTTGACAGTGGAATTTTACTAGTAATCCCTTGTCTAGTGATTACTTTGTTTTCATGTTGTCTTCCTATATTTTCTTCAGTCTTCTCTCAACATGGATGACATAACAGATACAAATTGAACAGACCAACTGTTTAATAGCATGTGTAAAATAAAGATGAATTGTGTTCTCTAAACTTAAGATCAGGGCGCCTGGGTGGCTCAGTCGTTGGGCTTCTGCCTTCGGCTCAGGTCATGATCCCAGGGTCCTGGGATTGAGTCCCACATCGGGCTCCCTGCTCTGCGGGAAGCCTGCTTCTCCCTCTCCCACTCCCCCTGCTTGTGTTCCTGCTCTTGCTGTGTCTCTCTCTGTCAAATAAATAAATAAAATCTTTTAAATAAATAAATAAATTTAAGATCATACATAAGTACCTTTCTAGTAATATTCCATCACTTTGGGGGTTTTTTGAAAATACAAGATCTCAGAGTGCCAGGCTCTGTTCAACATTCGAGGAAAAGCAAGCCAGTGGAATTCGCATTTTTGAGGCTTTATACCCAGAGAGAAGTAATTATATCCACACAGTTAGAACAGTTAAAAAGATTTTTTGACTATTTCAAAAAACTAACCATGTTTCTGTTTCTTTCTGGCTCAAGACAGCTCACTGCTTTCTGACTGACCAAGGTGCAGCGAAATTTGCAGCAGTCATGGGGGTCCCTACGATTCCTAAAGAGCAGCTGGTGACAGAAAGAAACATAAAACGTCTGGAAAAAGAGAAGCATGAGAAAGGTGCTCTGAAGTTAGACTGTCAACAGTAAGTGTCTTCTGTGGCTCACAGTTTGGGGACTTATTCAGGCATGGAAGTGTAACAAATATCTGATTACCTACATTTCTTAAATAAGTCAAGAATCACTTGGTAGTTTCCGTTTTTGTACAAAATAATTGACACTACATCATGGAAAAACTGCTCTTTTGATTCTTACATTCTGCCTCATTTATTACTCCTGTAATAACAACTCAGATTTGGCCAAGAGTTCCTTCTCCAATCATAGAGTGCCTTGTGTTAGTAGATTAACTGCCGGATGCCTCTTGATCAGTTTGTTATCTTAAAAGCAGACAAAACAGGTTGTCTGTGACCTAGTGAACCCTCTGAAGTTACTTGAGCCTGCTGTCCTAGTACAGAGGAATCAGTACAGTTCTTATAAGTTTGAATTAATCATTTGTTCTGAATTACGGTTTTCTGTGTTACAGAGTTCAAAATCCCAAATAAAAGCCCCCTTATTCAAAGCAAAATTTGAAAAATAGAATTTAGATATGGCCTGGGAGTTTATAATGGAATATAATCTATTAACTCTGCATACTCTTTAAGATTTGTCATTTTTAACCAGCAATATACTTTAATATCACCTAGGGAGCTTTTTCAAACTATACATGTCCGGTCCCCTTCCATAAAGAATCTAATTTAATAGATCTGAGGTGAAGAGGCCAGGCAGGTGTATTAGGAAAAAGTTTCCCAGGTAATTCTGATGTGTCCCCAGCTTAAGAATCTGTTTTACAAAATTGGTCATGTACTGGTAGCTTTCGATAATCTTACCAAGTGTGCTGTTGTACCTGTAGGCTAGAGTCACAGGAATGGGGCTGCTTTATCGATGGTTCTTGGGTCTTTTAACAGATGTTGTCACATCGCTTTCCAAAAATTCTGCAACAGCACACATCTCTACCAGCCAGTATTACCCTTAGATATAAGCGAGAGGGGCTCCACCCTGGGTCCTGCACTTTAGAGGACCCCCCATATCACAAACACACAAAACAGTTGGCTTATTACAGACACCTGGGGCACCTCTGTCACTCAGCAGTGGCATAGCGTGACCCATAACCCTCATCATCCACACTTGTGATTAACACCATTCAGCCCCCAGGAAAATGCTTCTCTGCATCACTTGCTCTATGTCTTGGAAGCGAAGGCCACCTAAATCTAAAGATTTGTGGATTGTGCTACTGCTGATATATGAAGTGGACACTGCTTCGGAGTGGGGGGAAGAATTGAACAGCAGAAGGACTTAGGTAAGAGAAAAAGACAAATTAATAACTTGTCGAATAAATTCTTACATAACAAAGTAATTGTTTCCCAGTAGTGCCAAGTTTCCATTTTCTTGCCTCCTTACATGTTCTATGCTATGGTTCTGGCGGGATTCATGGGTTAGTACAATATCTGCAAGACTTGCACATGAGGACTGATGCCCATTACTCTTAAAAGTGTATATATGTAGGTCTAGACCAGCACTGTCCAACAGAAAGACGAGAGCTGCATATGCAATTTAAAATTTTCCAGTAGCCACATCAAAAAAGTAAAAAGAAACAGATAGGGGTGCCTTGGTGGCTCAGTCGGTTAAGCGTCTGACTCTTGATTTTGGCTCAGGTCATGATCTCATGGTCATGAGATCAAGCCCCATGTCAGGCTCCACACTCAGTGCAGAGTCAGCTTGAGATTCTCTCCCTCTGCCCCTCCCCACCCCCACTCACACACTCTCTCTCTCTCAAAAAAAAAATATATATATATATGCATATACACACACACACGTGAAATTAATACGTTTCACCCAATACATCTAAAATTTTATCATTTCAGCATGTAATCAAGATAAGAAATTACTTGAGATATTTTACATTCTTGTTTCACACTAAATCTTCAAAATCTGACCCATATGCTACACTTGTAGCACACCTCCACCGCCCCCCCCCGGGGGGGGGTTGCCCACGCTTCCTGTGGCCAGTGGCGCAGGTAGCTCATGTCTGCCATACTGGACAGTGTGGGTCTAGACAGAACCTGCGTGAAGAACCAGCTCTTTATGTTGGCAACTAAATGGACACGGAACGTTAGTTATGAATGGTTTTGTTTGTTAAGATATGTTAAAATTTTTAGCTTTTAAGGAATTTTATTTTAAGATGTTATATTCACTAATTATAATTCATGTTTTGACTTTAATATTAATAGATAATTTGGTATATTTTAGGAAAACACTTAACTTTTTAAAGTTATATCTGCAATTCATTTATATTTATTCAGTTATATTTACTCTTCATTTTTTTATGAAAATATATCCTAATTTTGTGCACTTTCAAGACGATTACATCTTTTTAATCCCTAGATTATTGAAAATGCATGTTAAGTCAAGATTTTGATAGAAAAAAAATACAAAAGTGGAGCTCACAAAAGAACACAGAAAGCTGAGAGGAAGAAAGAAGGAAAATAATCTTCCAGGACACAGCCCACGTGCATTTCAGAAAACAAAACAGTAAAGTAAGCAGTCTTCTTCCAGGAAGATCCACCTAATGTTCACAAGCAGGACATTCCGAATTCTTGGTCCTGTGAAGATTTAATTACCTGTCAGAACAGTGAAGATTAGTAAGAATATTATTCCTGCCACATCCTCAGTTTGAACAGTTCCAATGAAATCCCAGCGATTTCCCGTCCTTTACTACAGGAAGAGCTAATTGCTCATCACGAAGAATCACACACCAAAAGGACACATGCAGTCGGTGGGATTGGGGGAACAGGCAGTTGATAACAGCGGAAAAAGAAAAAGACGATATGAAACAGGGATGTAATGTTCTTGAAAGAATAATACAGTGTGTCCGGTATTTAGCCAGGCCTAATGAGGCTTTTCATGGCACTCCATCATCTGCGCCGTGTTTACAAAACACAGTGGGACATTTCTAGGCTTAATAAAAATGATTTCAAAATTCAATAATATATGTAATTAAGACAAAAAATAATGAAACTAATGATCACTATCTAGGATAGAGAATTCAGACAGATTAATTTAGTGGGTAACAAGCAAGAGATGAAATCAAATACATAAAATGTTTTTAACAAAATATTCAGTTCAACTAGAAGGTACCATGGTCAGAAGACATGTCAAGCAACTAACATTTCCTATATGTATGGCTGTACTACCCCGAGAAGAAAAACAAAGTCTGACTCACCTGCTTTTTGAAGTAAGTGTTTTGGATTTAGAGAAGAAGTGGGGACAACTTTTCATCTTAGGCATCAATTTAAAAGACTGTCGAAGGCAATGGGGCGCCTGGGTAACTCAGTTAAGCGACCCAACTCTTGATTTTGACTCAGGTCATGATCTCAGGGCTGTGAGGTCAAGCCCCTTGTCAGGCTCCACACTCAGTGCAGAATCTGCTTGAGATTCTCTCTCTCTGCCCCTCCCCCTACGCTGCTTGCACACACACACTTTCTCTTTCTCTAAAATAAAGCTTAAAAAAAAATAAAAGACTGTCAAAGGCAAGCCTGTGATAATGGAGTGAATATCGTTGGTAAATAAAAGATATATAAGCATGAAGTTTGGCCAAGAGCCCAAAAGTATTCCATGTGACAAAGTTTGAATCTGTTTCTGGGAGGTGTGCCCCCACTGTGTGGCAGTAGAGGGTCCAATGGGGGATTCTCTAGATAGGCCCAAAATGGAACAGCGTGTTCAAACTCCTATCTGACCTTAGAACAAATCTCAGACAGATGGTGGGAATGACCAACTCAGTGCTGTTAAAGTAATTACATTGAATTTAGATAAAGAATTCCGTGAAACCACAGAAGATTCTCAAAGAGTAAATTATGGACTTTGACAGACAGTGAAATTAATTTTGAATTGATGCTACCTACAGTCACTTAGTATGAACTGTTAATTTCTATTGATAAGCTTAATAAAAGCTTTAAAAATATATTTTTGGCTATTTCACTTTTAAAAGGATTGAAAATATATTAAGTTTAGAGAAACAAAATCATACTGCATGTGAAATGTGCAAAAAGAATAACATTTCAGGGCCATGAGATTTGAGCCCCACGTGGGGTTCCACACTGGGCGTGGAGCCTGCTTGGGATTCTCCCTCTCCCTCTGCCCCTCCCCCCCGCTTGTGCTCTCTTGCACTCTCTCAAAGAAAGAAAGAAAGAAAGAAAGAAAGAAAGAAAGAAAGGAAAGAAAAAAGAATTCCAGTAAAATAAAAGGAACCTGAAAGAAGGCAACAAAAATTCTTACCTAACTTGAAGAAGATTCATGTAGAAATAATCCCCAGATCAGCTCCCATAGAGGCTGTCTTTCTGCCATATATCAGAGCATAGTGCCATTTGAAGAGAGACTTGTACAAAATCAAACAACACAACCACTGCTTTCAGTCTTCTTTATAATACACCAGCAGTGAAATGTGAAAGAGCTAAAGATACTCTGCATGGATCTGGGTGCTGCTGAAGAGATGGTATAAATGACTACAGGGAGCGATTGTGACATACATGATCAAGTTAAAGTATGTAATAGTGTCTTCCGTTACAAAAATGTATCCCGCAATGCTCGGTAGCATTTGAGTGTGGTAATATTCAAATCAGGAGTTCTTTCCAAATCTAAGGATTGCCTTAAGAATTCTGTTGAACATTCCAGTTGCTGCTGCCTTAGCAGAGGGAAGCTTCTCCAAATTAAAATTAATAAAAAAAACCTGCTAAGAACTACACGGACTCAAAAAGATCTGTCTTATGTGGCAGTTTGTCAAGAGAACACATGTTGTGGGTGCCTGGGTGGCTCAGTTGGTTAAGCGACTGCCTTCGGCTCAGGTCATGATCCTGGAGTCCTGGGATCGAGTCCCGCATCGGGCTCCCTGCTCAGCAGGGAGTCTGCTTCTCCCTCTGACCCTCTTCCCTCTCGTGCTCTCTATCTCTCATTCTCTCTCTCTCAAATAAATAAATAAAATCTTTAAAAAAAAAAAAAGAGAACACATGTTGTATGGACATACGATGAAATGAAAGCAGGAAAATCAACCTTGTGGAGTAAACACTTAATAATTTATAGGGTGTGTGTGTGTGTGTGTGTGTGTGTGTGTGTGTGTGTGTGTGTTTCCAGCCATCAGTAGCTGATCAACAAAGGACCCAGATGGGCACAATAATAATTACATTAAGTCATCATTGGTAGTTTGTCCACTTTCGGTCACGTAAAAACCATGGATTTACAATATTTATTTAAAGACATATTCATCACTCTAAGAGAAAAGAACATACCTACAGCTTCTCAAAAGTAAATAGATGGTGTATGGGCCGCCATTTGTATTTGCAGTCTTGCCTCCACACCTTACGAGTGTTAGGGGTGGGCCTGCCACCAGCAGAGTCTGGGAGTGCCAGCCCTCATCTGACATGAGGAGGGAAAGGCTGTCACTCTAAGTTGTATTCCCTGGCTGTCAACAAGTTTGAGCATTTGGCGTTTGTTGGTGGACCATTTGTTTCTATGAATTTGCCGATTTTTGTCCTATGATCATTTTTTCTCTTTCATTATGTTCCTTCTCAGTCTTAAGACTGCTCTGTTTAAAAAAAAAAATCCCTCCCTCTGACCCTCCCCCCCATGTACTCTCTCGCTCTCATTCTCGCTCTCTCAAATAAATCTTTAAAAAAAAAAAATCAAAATCTGTTGTTTTTAGTCTTGCTTTTACTTTGCTTATGGTATTTTTGCCATACACAGGTTTTTACTTTTTTGTAATCAAATAGTCTACCTCTCTTGTATAGCTTGTAGGACTAGAAACGTAGAAGGTACTCCCCACCCTGAGACATCTGTAGTCACCTAGATTTTCCTGAAGAATTTTGTTTTATGTTTTATATTCAGGCCTTGAACTCTCTGGGGTTTTGTTTTTTTTTTTTAAGATTTTATTTATTTATTTGACAGAGAGACAGCGAGAGAGGGAACACAAGCAGGGGGAGTGGGAGAGGGAGAAGCAGGCTTCCCGCTGAACAGGGAGCCCGATGTGGGGCTCGATCCCAGGACCCTGGGATCATGACCTGAGCCGAAGGCAGACGCTTAACGACTGAGCCACCCAGGCGCCCCTCTGGAGTTGATTTTTGTGAATGCTGGAAGATAGGGTTTTCTGCCAAACAGAATGCCAAATTTCTCTTTCTAGCCCCCTGAATGCCAGCCCATATCTAGCTGCAATTCACCCAACAGGTACCTCAAGCTTGTGTCCAAAACGGAACCCCGGATTTCCCCACCAGCCTTGCTCCACACCCACCAACAAAACCAAAAAACAACAAAAAACCTGTTCCTAATAGTCTACATTTCAATGAATGGTTCCTGTACCTTTTCCATTCTGGAAACCAAAGCTTTAGAGCCTCCCATAATCTCTCTCACACCCAGCTCCCCCACAGTCTGTCAGCTCTGCCTTCAGAATGTCCCAAGCCAAGCCCACTTCTCTCCGTCCCAGGAGCACCCTAATGGAGGCCAGCGACTCTTCAAGCCTCCTGACCATCTCTAGTTCTACTCTTGTCTCCCTCAGTCAACACACATTTGGCAGAATGATTATTCTAAGAGAAACTTTTTGTACACGTGTGGCATACATACAGGAGTGCACAAGTCTTATGTTGCCTCTGAGTTTTCACAGAGTGGACCCATATAACCAGCCCCCAGGTGGGGAAATTGCTCATCGCCCGATGCTCCCTACCATGCTCCCTTCCATTCCCAGCCCTGCCATAAAGGCAACCACTTACCTGGCTTCTAACACTGTAGACAACTATCGCCAGTTTTTGAACTTTATTTAAGTGGAAACATATAGTGCGTACTTTTTTATTTGGTGCCTTCTTCCCTCATTATATTTCTGAGATCCGTCCGTGTGCTGCATACCTCAGTAGCTCATTTTCACGGCAATAGACGATTCTGTTCCATGACTGTATCTCAGTCCACCTACTCTGCCTTTGGTGGACATTTATGTCACTTTGCTTTCTGTTACTACAAACAGTCCTGGTGTGAACATTTTGGTATATGTTTTTTGGTGAACGTAGCTCCGCATTCCTGTTGGAAGAATGCAGAAATCTACTAGGAGTGTGATTGCCAAGTCAGCGTTGGTAGATTCTGCCAGATGGTTTTCCAAAGGGATACCGAGTCGTCTTCATTTTAGCCATTCTGGTGGATGGGTGGAGGGTAAGAATGATATTTTTAAAACAACTCATCTAGTGACACATCTTGGCTCAGGTTCTGCAGTGTCTTCCCATCTCACTCAGGATCTATACGTCAGATGACCGTATGATTTAGTGTTCAAATCAGAATTTGACTTGGAGAGTGAAAGGGGAACTGTTACATGGGGATAAATCAGGACTGTCCTGGGTCACCAGGGTGTACAGTCACCCCGCCCGTCAGAGCCTCCATGGTCTGGCTGCTGGCCATCCCCTGACCCCCACCCCCCTTGCATTATTCTCTGCAACCACAGTGACCTCCAAATTCCATGAGCTTCACAACCATGTTCCAGCTTCCCAGCAAACCGTGTGGGTTGCCCTCACCTCCTTCAGAGAGGCCCTGTATAAAGCCCTCTCCATGCTGCTGGAGTCGTCATCATTTTTACTGTTGTTCCATAAAACAAATTTTTACCGCTCTGTTGCCCTCTGCCCCCACATGCAAGCTGCACAGAAGGGACTTTGTCCGTTCACTGCCGTGCCCGGCACTTACTACGCGCCTCGAATATAGTTCATTATAGAACCTGGGTGGTGGGCATTACAGTTGTTGTACAATTTCTTCCAATTTTTTTACTTGAAAATGTATAATATAGTAGGGAAAACAATAACTTATTTCATCTTTACAGCAAGCCCCGGGAAACAGGCAAAATGGGGTGTGACAGGCAGCATCGGCATCACCTGGGAGGTTGTGAGAAATGCAGGATCTTGGGTCCCACCCTGTACCCACCAACTCAGGATCTCTGAGGTGGGCCCAGGGATCCAAGGGATTTTTATGCACGCAACGTTTGGAACGCACTCAATCATTTTTACCCCCGCTTTATAGGTGGGGAAAATAAGACACAGAGAAGAAAACTTTTAAGTCCCACAGCTAGAAGATGGTGGTACTGGGATGGGATGTGCTCTTAAAACTGAGATCTAAAGGAATGTCTAGCAATCTGTCTGACCTGCAGAATAAAAAGCTAATGTGAGGTGTGAATGATAGATTCAAAGCGTGTCCCATTTGCCATTAGCATCTAACGCGGGGGTTTAAGTGCTGTTCAGCTACGATGTTACTTGTGACAGTGTCTCTCGTCTCAGTCTGTCACTTTTCTCTTCATTCTTGGCAGAGACTTGGGAACCGTGGGTGCCGTTGCCTTGGACTGCAAAGGAAACGTAGCCTATGCAACCTCGACGGGCGGCATCGTTAATAAAATGGTCGGCCGGGTTGGGGACACCCCGTGCATAGGTAGGCCCCATGGCTGGCTGCTGCCCCGCCCCTTCCGCCGCCATCCACCTGTCGCCCTCTCCTCTTCACTCCCTGCCTCTTCCAGCCGCTCCGGCAGATCCCGGAGCGGGGGGGGGGGGGGGGGGGGGGGGGGGGCTGGCGGAAGGGCTGGGGCAGGGCACCGCCTTGAGAGGGCGCCTGTATCTGGCAGGCGAGAGGCTTTTCCAAGGCAGGTGGCTCCCGGGATGACTTGGGGAGGCTCAGGGGGCCCCCAGCGAGCCCCCGAGGGCCTCTTTCTTCTCTCTGGTCCCAGCTTCAGGATCTGCAGACTTAGCCCCGAAGAGTTACATACACAAAGACCCTTCCCAGGCATGGGCTCAAATTAACAAACAGAAAAAGCTGAGAATATAGGTTGGCAGCTACTAGATTTGAGTGGGACAAAAGCGACGTGGTGCTGCTACAAGTGGAAACGTTTGTGTTGACACTGAAGTACGTCCTCTAGCTCCTGGGCGTGGGTCAGCGGCGGGGCTGGGACTGGCTGGATGGGCTTCGCAAAGGAGGAGCCGTCCTGGAGGAGCTGCTCCATGAGAGCTCGGGCCAACCCCCACCCCCACCCCCACCACCACCAGCACTGATTTCAGGGTCATCACCTGGCACCTACTACTCCACCTCTGCATCTCAAGGTCATGGCTACTGACCTTTGTTCACACTTTGGCACTCTTTGGGATTTTACATTTATGTAGCGTTAGACTTGATATGTGTTCGCATTTCTTCACTGTTGCTGCTCAGTTAGAACCAGTCCACCTTTTTTGAGCAGGATCTGGAGGTTATGCTGACAATGACATTGGCGCCATTTCAACAACGGGGCACGGGGAGAGCATCCTGAAGGTGAATCTGGCCAGACTGACTCTCTTCCACGTAGAACAAGGTACACAGAACAAGTTCATACTGTCTGAAGACAAGTGAATGGAAGCTCTTTGTAAATAGGCTGTAAAGTATATGAAACCCTTTCTCGTTTGCTTTAGATGCTCCTTTCAGGTTAACGCTCCTTTGACTTCTTCCCAGATCCTGTTAGGATCTGGAAAGAAGTGCCCTTAGGCTATTGTCCGTGTTGGGCATCTCGGGGGCAGTAAAGAGACTTTGAGCCTGGGTGTGTGAGAGAAAGCAGCTCTGCTCAGGCTGATGCTAGGCACCATCTCAGTGCAAAGAGGGCCTTTTGTGGTGAGGATGCTTCTTTGAAGCGTTCAAATAGAAATCATGTGCCCAAAGTCTTTGTCAACTCACTTGGGTTGTTCATACTGCAACTGATTTTCCCATCAGATTCCTTTCATTATAATGTGTGTTTTTTCTCAACCTTTCCTCGTTTTCAGGAAAGACATTGGAAGAGGCAGCCAGCATGTCATTGGGTTATATGAAGTCAAAGCTGAAAGGTTTAGGCGGCGTCATCTTGGTCAGCAAAGCAGGAGACTGGGCAGTGAAGTGGACCTCCACCTCCATGCCCTGGGCAGCCGCCAAGAATGGCAAGCTGCACTCTGGAATCGATCTCAACGAGACCAGTATCACTGACCTGCCCTAGGACCCTGAAGATTGTGTTCTAGATGCTAGCTTGGAGGGAAAGTCCGGTTTCCTGGTGTGGAGACTTAGCTTAATCAATTAGATCTAGAAATGGAAAATTCTGCAGTCTGTCACTCGTTTTGTCGCCTTGATCAATGAGTATCTGAGTGTTTGGTTGAGGGGAGGATCTGGAAGTGCCAAGAGAAACGCTCCTGTTAAGGTCAAAATAAGACCAGTGCAGATGACCAGGTCCTGAGTCTTTCTTAGGAGTCGTCCCCAGTGTCTTAGATTAGAAAGAAGAAATGACATGATCTGCACAGGACAACAGCCACTTCGGGGCAGGGAGTGCCATCTGGGATCAGGAGACCTGCAGCGGAGACAGAAGGGGCAGGCTCAGAAGGTGGGGGGGCCCAAACCAACACCTCCTGGGGCTCTCTTGGTTGCAGAGTTCATGTTAAGTCAGAAGAATGTCAGGGAAGAGAACCCGTGAGAGGGGAAGCTGATTTTCCTGAGAAGGTTCAGACCTCCTCTGACTTACTGATGTAGACGCGTTTCCAGATACTTGAGAAGTAGCCTCTGATAACCCACAGCCCCCAGTCTAGAGGTGAAGGGTCTAATGGAGATTCCGCGGATCTCCCACGTGAGTCTGCTGGCCTAGCATTTTCCCACCAGCCTCCGCCTGCTGCAGGCCCTCCTGGTGCTCATGCCGAGTAAGGGGGCTCGTGACCTCTCCACCCCTACTATCAGCAGCGCACCAACCCCATGGGGGCACACTGTGATCTCCTGCACTCTCCCAATGTCCAGGGCTGTGGGCCCCCACGACTGCAGGGGGCATGTGTACAGCATGGTCAGCATCGTGGAAAAAAGTCACTTCCTTGGTGGAAACCGTTCCTATTCATCTCGCTTTACACTGGAAATGGTATTTCTGCCGTGACAAATTTTTAGTCTGTCAGGTCTTACCTTCTCTCTGGAAAAAAAATTGCTTAACTTTAAATTCCATGTGCCACTAATAAAATTTATTTTGAAAGAATAACAGTGTGGTTAGGAGTCACTGCTGACAAAGACCAGAATGTCCACAAGCTCCCGTTGTTTCTGTCAGTTCAGACAGGCGTACTAACTCAAGAGGACTTTCGAGGGGAGGGTGGTACGGGGATGTGTCGGTTACGTCCTGCCTCGTGGAGTATATTGGAGAGTTTTTCAGAGGAATGGAGCTTTTTCTCAATGGATTAAGGGAGAAACCAGACCACCATTTGCAAGGATCAGCGGGGCGAATGAGCAACATTCTTGTGGTTTGCCAGACAGCCGTCTCCTTCCAGATCCCTGCCCATGACCTTCCCAGGCCGGCCAGCTGCCCCGAGCTCCGGAGGGGGAGGTGGCACTCGGAGGCACAACTGAGTCTGAATCCTGACTGTCCCCCTACCTGGATGACCCAAGTTAACTTCTAGGAATGTTTTCATCTATAAAATGGATTACTGTGAAGATTAAATGCAATTAAAGGAAAACTGCTCTGTGTTTATCTTAAGGATCCTCTGGACAGATAGAGAAACCGTGGTGGGGCCCAGGAGGGAGTGGGTGTGTTTATATCCTTGAAAACCTCAAAATGTTGGGGCACCTGGGTGGCTCAGTCGGTTAAGCGTCCAACTCGATTTCAGCTCAGGTCATGATCTCAGGGTCGTGGGATTGAGCCCTGCACTGGACTCGACACTCAGCAGGGGGTCTGCTTGAGATTCTCTCTCCCTCCCTCTCCCTCTGCCCCTCTTCCCGCGCTCGCCCGCTCTCCCTCTTTCTCTCTCTCAATCTCTCTCTCTCTCTCCCTCTAAATTAAAAAAAAAAAAAAAAAAAACCTCAAAATGCAACCACTGCCCTGTAGAAATAAGTATTATGTTAGGGTTATATTCGTTTGCTAGGGCTGCCAACAAGAAAACACCACAGACACAGGCTTCAACAATGGAAAGTTATGTTCTCACAGCTCTGGAGGCTGGAAGTCCAAAATCAAGGTGTCAGCAGGCTCAGTGTCTCCTGAGGCCTCTCCTTGGCTGGCAGATGGCCTCCTTCTTGCTGTGTCCTCACGTGGTCTTTATACACGTCTGTAGCCAACTTTCCTCTTCTGATGGGGCCACCAGTCAGATTGGGTGAAGGCTCACCCTAATGGCCCCATTAACTCGACCACCTCTTCTAAGGCCCTGTCTCCAAATACAGTTCTATGTTGAAGTACTGGGGGTTAGGGCTTCCACAAACCAATTTTGAGGGGACACAATTCAGCCCAAAAAGGAGGCAAAGCAGAATTACGTGAGAGGTTGGGAAGGGAGAGCCTGAAGAAGACAGCCATCACTAAGTGGGTAAGGGAGGCGGAGGTAGGAGGGCCAGCTGAAACATCTCATTTTGTGCTTACCAGTTCCACCATTCAAAAGGAAAGCAACTCTAGTCGTCAAAGACCGCTGGAGGCTCTGGAGGCTCAGCTTGGAGGCCACCTGACCGCTTTGGCCGGGCAGCCCAGTTAGGTAAGGGTACGTACGTCGGCCCCCTTGTACAGCCCAAGGCGTGGATTGTTACCCTCAGACCCTGATTCAATGAAAAGTCAGTGGCCTCCACTAGCCTGGGAATGCCCTCAGCGGAGACCAGGTATGGCCCTCTGTTTTGTCCCACACATTCTCCCCGAGAGCGAGATGCTACGTGAAAGAGGAGACTCATCACTTCTGTACCACTGGAGGGCAGCAAACTATAAAACGTCCAGCATTGCCCCAGACCCGCAAGGGAGACTAATCTATCTTGACTGCCTCAGAATAATCTACTCAGAAAATTTGGGACCTGGGAAACAGACTGAGGGTTTCAGAGGGGAGGGGGGTGGGGGGATGGGTATTAAGGAGGGCACGTATTACAATGAGCACTTGGGTGTTATATGCAAACAATGATTCATGGAACAATATATCAAAAACTAATGAAGTACTGTATGGTGACTAACATAATAAAAAGAAATAATTTTTAAAAAAGAAAAAGAAAATTTGGGTTCCTGTTCCTGACCTTCATTTTCATCTAAACACTACAGTTTATTTTAGAGCAGATTTGTCCCAAAAACAGTGCTAGCAAATGCCCCAAAGGACCCATCAAAATCGACCATGTCTCGGACTCTTAAACCATATCTCTGACTCTTAAAACAACAGAAACTTATTCCACACGTGACGCCAAATGCCAGGGCCCCCAGGGTGAGCATGCTCAGACAGCCCCGGCCTCGGCCCTCAGTTGCTCCTTCCAACCAGGAAGACAGATGAACTGTATTCAGCCTAAACTCGCCAAAATGGTGAGATGAGAAAGAGCACAAGAGGGGCCCAGAGCCAAGAGTCGGTGTCCACCCCAGGAGATGCTGCGGTCAGCCGTGGGCTGGAAGGGGCTTTAGCTGTTGCACAATAAATTGTTTATTCAAATAATGTCCTTCCTGGATGTGTTCCTTTCTGGCCTGAGAGAGTACAAACCCTGAGGGCAAAGGAAGGTGGAATGGGATGTGTACTTCGGTCCTTGTCAGGGTCCCTCTCATCAGAGTGGGTGGTGTTCCGGGAAGCTGACAGGGGACACGGCCCTTCAGCCCCACGCCCGCTCTGTGGTCCTCTGGACAGCCTTCATCTTTGCACAGACCAGCTCTGCCTTCAGACTTTGCAGCAACCAGGGAGTAAGGATGTGCGCACAGACGCTCGTCCAGCTCGGAGAAACCCAGGTGTCCTGTTCCTCCTCCCTGTGTGGCCCCCAAGGGAACAGGGGCCGGGCTGAAGGACGAGGCGAACCAGGCCCGGGAAAAGGGTTTGGGGATTTGGGCCTGGACCACAGGTAGGCTTGGGGCCGGGAGTGGGTGTGGGTGCCCAGAGCGGTCCCACCCAGAGTGCAGGTACCATTCAGTGGGCAAGCGACTTTCTCCCGTACCCCACCCCACTTCCATACACCCCAAAACAACTGAGCCACAGTCATATGTAGCTTTTCTCCTACAGGCAGTTATAAAGATGGGTGGGGCCCCACAGGGAGCCCTTTTGAAAGATGAAAAAAAGGCCCAGAGAAACTGGAGTTTCCCTGGGGCTTTCATTCCCCTCAGATTAAACTGAGGTTTATCTCAGCCTCTCTGTTCCCTGCACGGTCCTCATCACTTCTCACATGGCTCCCAGTGCCTCCCAAGACCTGCGCAGGGCGTAGGGACGGTCCCAAGGATGCTACAGGTGAGAAGCAGGAAAGAACACCACGTTTTAACAACTTTTTCCTCCAAACTCTGCTTTTTTTTTTTTTTTAAGATTTTATTTGTCAGGGGCGCCTGGGTGGCTCAGTCATTAAGCGTCTGCCTTCGGCTCAGGTCATGGTCCCAGGGTCCTGGGATCGAGCCCCGCATCGGGCTCCCTGCTCAGTGGGGAGCCGGCTTCTCCCACTCCCCCTGCTTGTGTTCCCTCTCTCGCTGTGTCTCTCTCTGTCAAATAAATAAATAAAATCTTTAAAAAAAAAAAAAAGATTTTATTTGTCAGAGAGCACAAGCAGGGGGAGCAGCAGAGGGAGAAGCAGAGCAAGGAGCCTGATGCAGGACTTGATCCCAGGACCCTGGGATCATGACCTGAGCCAAAGGCAGACACTTAACCGACTGAGCCACCCAGGCATCCCCCAACTCTGCTTTTTTTCTCAACCGACTATTTAAGTGAAGTTGGGGGGCGCCTGGGTGGCTCAGTCATTAAACATCGTCTGCCTTAGGTTCAGGTCATGATCCCAGGGTCCTGGGGTCAGGCCCCACATCGGGCTCCCTGCTCAGCGGGAAGCCTGCTTCTCCCTCTCCCACTCCCCCTGCTTGCATTCCCTCTTCCGCTCTCTCTCTCAAATAAAATATTTAAAAAAAAAAATAAAGCGAAGTGGGATTTTCAGACAGTGAGCAAGAAGGGGCAGGCATGGATGGGGTTGACAGAGGAAAGCAGACTGGGATTCTCTCCCTTGTTTTCTTTTTCTTTTTTTCAGTCACTGATCATCTCAAGAGTTAACTGTTTTTTGCTCTACAAAATATCAGCACTTTCTGGATTCTGTGCAGAACTTGGATGGGGTTTTGGCTCTGAACTATAGCTAGCAGAAAAGAGGTCGGTTCTTCCCATCCTCTGAGGTGGGGCTGAGGGTCCACCACCCAATGCTCTGGTTCAAGCATCCCCTGGATTGTTCCCTTCCAGGGTAGCAATTTTTTAGTCAGCATTTTTAAGTTAAAAATAACCTTGTAATTAAGTAAAAGGGGCATATGTGCATTGTAGAAGTTGGAAGAAATAAAAATTTTTAAATAAGTTACGAGAAAACATAGTTCCACAAAAACAAGAAAAAAATAGGGGAAACATTTCCTATCACCCAGTGACTCCTGCTATTAACACCTACTGTATATTCGTGAGTCTG